AAATTAAATGTTGCTGAAACAGCATGTTTCTCAGTGGATCTGCGCTCAAAAATGCAGCCTAGGTGTAGTAGTCGAACACAAATCCACTGATCCTTTAACACAGAGCATCTTCAGAAGACAAGTTGATAAAGTAAATTTTAAAAATTTGTATTGTTCGATACAGCACTGTTCGATACGGGTACATTTATGATTGCGCGATATAAACGATATACGGTAGAAACGATATAAATTTGTCCTATGATAGAGATCTGTAGTCTACCAGCCAACCGCACAATTCTTTTTGATGACGYAACCGGCTGGAGTCAAAACAGAGGAAGCGGGAAGCAGCGAGGCTGAGAGAGCAAATGAAGAAGGGAAAAAACTTATCCGGACCTGGTTCGGGTGTGTGAAAATGAACGCCGAACTGTTTACATATTTACGTGACGGCGTGTCCTCCGGTCGGATGCCGACCGACCACACTGCCTGCTGCGGGAGGAGCGCACGCCGCGGTGTGTGTGAAGGGCTCGACACACGGGAGGCGMCGTCGCTCGCTCTCCATTCATTTCCACGCAGCGAGGCGACTGTCAGTGCAKGTGAAGTCAGTGCTCAGGTGGGACGCACAAAAATCAGTCTGGACCTCGTTTCTCCTGCGGWCATAGCGCAAYGACGCAYKGCCGAATGCGCGCGCACTCCAAAGCRCGACTATAATGATTGTCACCCCGCCGGAGCACGCACAGATTAAACAGGTGGAGTGCAGAAAAAATAATCTGCAAAGTGTGTAGAAAGGAATAAATACAAGCAATTAGTCTCCACTGTAACCCATCATCATCATCATCATCATCATCATCATCCCCAGTGTCAGTAAAATGATGCTGATGTTTGTAAGGAAAAAAATGTAAGAAACATATCCACTTTTCTAAGTTTTCATGTGTCTCAAACAACAACCTTTCATAGAATAGACAAACATCAACATGTTAACGTCAATATGTGCAAGTAGTCAGAGATGAGAACTTTGTGAATGGTTCATCTTGAATGGGAGCTAATGGGTTTGTTAGCAAAGACACTCTTCGGACATCTATCTGCAGATGTCTAATAATGGTGATATTATTTTGTCATTTACCTGTGTAAGTCCAGAGGCTTTRAGGAGTTCTTGCGGTGAACGGGTTCCATAAAGGTTGAGGGATCGCAGCAGCAGCATTCGGCTGTAGACCTTGTTCCTCGCCTGTAAAAAAACAAAAGRTGTTGGTTTTTAAGGGGATAGTAGAGGATATCGTTTTCTTTACTGTTCACATGAATTCAGAGCAGCTTGTCACCTCCTTTTTAAAGTTGAGGAAGTAGTTTGTCTGGTCGATGAGGAAGATCTCCAGAGCAGAACGTCGCAGGTTGTATCGTCTCAGGTGGACCTCTCGTATTTGTGACAGGGGCCATTTGAAGTCGTGACCCACTCCTTCAGGGGGTGAAAAACAGAAGCTATATATATATATGTTTTGTTTCTTCACACACTTTGTTCTTTCTGTTCTTGCTGTCCCCTCACCCTCCTCCTTCTCCTGGCTGCTGTCGTAGAAGTAGATGTGTTGGGTGGTGAGTTCCAGGCGGCCGGGGACAACATCCACCACAGTCACTAGCTCACAGTCCTCGCCCAGCACCAGTTTTTCTTTTTGACCAGCCTCTTCTGCTTCAGCCCTATGGGACATGAGGAAAAACACAGGACAAGATTATGAGCTAGTATATGCTTTTTGTCGTATTCGTTGTCAGGTTTTTGCCAAACTGACATGTTGTTCGCAGCAGCAGGGTCGTCCTCCGGCAGCTCCAAGATGTCGTCTTCCAGATCGCTGACTTTGACCTGCTTCACAGCTTCCAGCAGCAGAGACTCTGGGTTTACACGCTGCTGATGGACACCTGAGGAAATCAGAGACAATAGGGAATTAAAACTAAGAGGCTTCCAGATATGGAGCAGCAGCTGACAAACTAACAAAACAAATCCGTACAGAGCSTTGAACTCCTGCAGTTATAGCTCAGCTCAGTAGTGTATTATTGCTGCTGATTACACTGAAGGGAACTCAGTTGAGGTGAATCAGACTAAAATTTAACAAGAATACATGTCAAAGGTGGGACCTCTGTTCTGGATATATATTTGGATTCTGATCACTGGATTCTACAGATTGGCTKGGTGGTTTCCTGGTGTTCTGCAAAACAGTGTCGGTGGCTGTTCATTTCCTGGCTGCCTGACCATTAGGAAGGACTGCCGTTCTTTCAGCACTCAGACTTTTGCCTTGAGCGAGCTGGACTCGGTCTGCAAGCGGCTCTGCTGAGGGTCGCGGGCCGGCTGTGGTTCCTGGACTTTGCTGGCCAGATRGAAWTGATCTTGGAGAAGCTGATAGCTCGGCGGGATTGYCCACACTATTTGTCTGATTGGATTCACCACATTGAGATGTACCAGCGCACATTAAGGCAGACAGAAAAGTGTTATTGTTTACATGACCGAAAACATTTTCTCTGTGCCCAAACAACTGATTACAGATTAGCCCGCCCCTCCCCCCCAGTCCATTTAATCTGATCCCCTGAYGGTCAATCTGGAGCTGCACAGAATGAACAATTCAACACCAATATTCTGAACTAATGGCTGAACTATGGGTTTTTTTCTTTTGGGAGGCCGGGTTCTTCACTATTTCCTGACTGACTCCTCTGGCTAATGCTCTGTAGAGGTTTTTTTTTTTATAAATGCCATAGTGTACCATTTTTTTGATATATGATGTTTTGTTTTTTTCCCTCATCTATCCTTCTGTGGTTTTTTCGTTTTTCTTTTTAAAGGTAGCGTGACCCCTGCTGGTTCCTGCATGACCTGATCACCTGCACCCCCATGTTTTTGTCATGTGTGTCTCTTGAATGGGTGTTCTTAAATGTAATTTCATTGTGCTCTGTGCAATGACAATAAAGGCATCATCAATCAATCAATCAATCAATCAATCAATCAATAAGAGCACGACAAACCAGAGGCCTTACCCAGGTTGTCTCTCAGAGCGCTGGCCTCTCGGTGAGGGTCGAAGTTGTAACTGCGGACCAGCTTCAGCCTCATCCTGGAGTAGTTCTCTGCACTTGACACCCTCCAGTGCATCTCCTCCTGTTGTCTGAGTCACATCAGTCAAAAACACAGAAATAACATTAACCCCCAAAAAACAGACATCAGATCCATAGATCCATTATATCCTCATGCTGCTTTTAGCTATAGCCTTTTGCTATATTTATTTTGAGGCTAAACTTTGGCTACTTTTACCTTTAAGCTAAGCTTTTGCTACTTTTACCTTGAAACAAGCCTCTTGCTACTTTTACGTTAAAGCTAGCTTTGTGCTTTTTTTATTTTGAAACCAGCCTCCTGCTACTTTTAGCTCAAAACCTTTGCTATTTTGTGACTTTTGCTAACATTCTGCTACTATTACCTGTGGGATAACTTTTGTCAATATTCAGTACTTTATAAGCTTTTAGCTACTAATATGCATTTTGTTACTWTAACAACTACATTTAAGCTTCAGCTGTTTCCAGCACAGCAAAGTTATCTAATATTTATCATCTAGCAGTTAAATTTCACATTTGATCTTATTCCACTGTGAACAAATCTCAAACACATGTTGGTAACGTCGGTACCTGTCGGCCCAGGGACCTCTCTCACACACCAGACCCCGCCGTGCTGCCTTCCACTGCCTGAGGGTGGCGCTGTTTTGGCTGTGCTGCTGCTTCAGCATGTTGTTGTAGCGCAGGTTCTCCTGGCGGCCGCGGCGCGAGAAGGGCTCCACAAACTGTTCCTGAAAGAGTTTTGGTTTTAAAAAGGATCCAAGTTTCTGACAAACACAAATCACAGATGGACTCTGTGGTCCAGGGGAACTTACCTGGAAGCGGATCTTGCTCTCGCCCCTCTCTCTTTCTCTCTTATGGAGGCTGACCATGAAGGCTTCGTAGCACTCCTTCCAGTACAAAGCCATGGACTCATGACCCTGGCTGAACATCTCAATTTCATACTGCTTCATGTACGGAATGATCTAAAGAAGAAACGTCATTAAAATAAGATTTTTCTTTTCTGAGGACAGCTGAAACAAACAAATCTCTTACGTATTTGTCAAGGTAGACGCGCCACTCGGGCGAGTTGCAATACAGCTTGAAGTCCTCGAAAAAGGACGGGCTGCCGTTGGTGTCGGGGAGCTGGGGGAGGTGCAGCTCCATATAAAGGAGGCGGCTGACTTTGGAGAGCAGCGTTCGCAGCAGTGGAACCAGGAATGAGTAGATCTCCTCGGTCTGCTCCTGGATGGAGCGCCGAAGGATCCCCTCCAGTTTTCCCAGCAGGTAGCAGGCCTCGTCCTGGCTCGTCACCTCCTTGGTCTGCAGAATGCCGTTGAGCTTAGCCGTGGCCATGGCGCACACCTGGGGACGAGGGAACGCGTTGGAAAAACGCCCAGAAGTAGAGCCAAACACATAAGAACGTCAACTCTCTATAAACAGCAAAGGAATAGAAAACCAGGAAGTGCACCTCAGGGTCTTCCTGAGCCATGAATCCCAGAAGAAGTCTCAGTCCCACTTGAGACAGCTGAAGCCACTGGGTGCCGGCAGAATACCACACCATGAGGCAGTCCATTAGTGTCACAGTCTCTTCCAGAACCTTCTCCGTCCACAGCCCTGGACTGATCAAACCCTCCGCCTGGAGAAAGTCCTGCACGATGTGAAGCAGCCGTACTGCGTTCTCCGTGTGTTGGGGCAGTGTGGCGGCCGAGGCCTCGCGGTTATCGCTCACCGACCACTCCAGCATGCACTCCAACAGCCTGGGAGTGAAAACACAAACAATCAGCAGGTTTGTTTCTCCAGAATCATTCGACATGTCGGAGAGTAAGACGCTGACCTGAGCTTGATCTGGTCGACAGGGAGCAGCAGCTCATTGGCAGTTCCCAGCTTGGTGAGAGCCGAGAACACCTGACCACGTTCCAGCCACGCAGAATCGTCTGAACCCTTGACGCCGCGCCACATCACGCACAGGAGGATCTCCAGCAGCATGCTGCACAGTTCCTCCTCCACTCTCTAGGGGCAGACGAGTGACAGAGAGAGTTAACATCAGATGAAGCTGTTGTAGGAACYAGAACATTTACACCAATCACCAACCTCAGCGCTGTTGAAGGACTCCCCCAGCGAGATGTTGTCTCCAAACATGAAGCTGTCCTCTGTCAGGGAAGGAGCTTCTTTATTGCCGCTGTTTCCGGGGAAAGGCTTTGAGGTTTCCAGTGGTGAAGGTGTGCTGGGCACGCTCCCAGGTGTTTGGCTGCCGCTCTCCCCGGGCTCGCAGGTCTGCAGGTGGGACAGGTCCAACGTCAGGCCCCCGGATTTCCCCACCACCCAAGGTTTGACCGGGAGCTGTGGCTCATTGGAGGCGGAGGAGGATGGGGTGTCCAGCAGCGAGATGACATCACCGTTCTCCAGGCTGTCCACAGAGCGCGCGTCGCCGATGCTGAGCCGGTCATCGTCCGGACGGTCCGAGCGGCCGGCGCTGCCCACCCGCGCCCTCTTCTCCAGCGGCAGCTCCAGGCGGTTGGTGTTCCGGTTCAGGTCCAGGCTGCAGGTGCTGACGGTGTCAGAACCACGCAGCGACAGGGAGCCATCACCTTTGAGATACAGACGCATGAGGGTGTCCTGCCAGCACTGCTGCTTTGAGATCTGAGTGGCAGCTTCCTGTTGGGACTGAAGCAGCTGGTGCACCTGAGGATATTAAAGGGACAGTTCAGATCTGTTAGATATGACAGTTCAGTCATGACTGTGATTACTGACTAATACAAGTCACTGTGGTGTGGAGCTAATGCTAAAGTCAATGCTAATGCTGTTTGGATTACATCTGGGTGACGCYTCAGACAGTGAGAGGTGAGGAAGACCCCAAATTTGGCAGATTTTTTTCACGCCACTTCAGAGTTGCAGTCAAGACATTTTAAAAGCAGCAGGAAATTCAAGGCTACTTTGTTCCAAAACAACTGGATTTTCTATTTGGCTCCCAGCGGCATGGCCTTCATGGCAGTGTTTATCTCAATCTCCTCAAGATGGAATGTCAGCAGAGTTCGATTTGCTCCCACCCCCATCACCCGTGTTGGACCCGGCCCTGGAACCCCATGGCTCAGGAGGAGGAAACTCTGAACTCTAGCGAACTGAGTAGAGATGATAACATCATGTGACTCTGGACTCTGGAGGGGGCCAGGGTTGTGTCCTAGCACATACCCCACCCTCCCTCAACGTCACCTACTCCTCTGAACCCTCCCCATCTTACCTCCTCCTTATGTGTTGTTTGACCCCCAGCCCCCTCYCTTCCTTCGCTGCCTTGCACTGACGCAAGTGGATTTTTTTTATTCTGTGTTTCTGTGTAAACACGGGATCAGAGCCTCTTTTTGTAAACTCACCTTTGCCATTGTGTGGCAAACTGCGAGGTAGTGCACCCGTCATGCGAAAGACCCTGGACATTCGTTCCCCTATGTTTTTTATTTGTGTGTTTCTCTGGATTGATGTTCTAAACTGCAATTTCGTTCTGCATTGCATCTGTGATGTTGTGTGTGAATGACAATAAATGATTCTGATTCTGATTAATCTAACACTAACCCTCCCTACAGTCAAAAACATGCAAGTGCAATTGTCATCTATTAATCGGCATGTTATTCGTTATTGAATAAATAAATACCAGAATTAACCGTGAAAATGTTTTTTGTCAATATCGCCCAACCCTATTCCTTAATCCTCCTCTATAAAGGCTCTGTCTGTGGCAGGTAAAGCCATGAGTTGCAGTTCTCTCACCCTCTTGCAGACRATCAGGCGTACATTGGGTCCAGCTCTGTGTGTGAGCTGGACCAGAGCCATCAGGTCCTTATAGTTCACAACTTGATCTGAGAGTAAAAATACAAATGGACGTTAAGGTTCTGCATCTGGACTCAAACGTTCTGATTAGAGGTCAGCTGTTTGAGCGTACCTGTGTGGAGGACCTGATTGAGGAGGCAGCGGATCAGAATGGGAGTGATGTGGAGCTCGGAGAAGACCAGAGACAGACCGCTGTAACCCACCTCCCTCAGACGCAGACGCTGCTTGTTCTTCTCGTAAACGCGGTCGCAGCGCAGCATGCGCTCAAACAGCTGCAGACAGGAAATGACATCATTTCATCCCAAAAGAACTATTTTACATCCAAGTCCTGACTAGATCCAAACAACTTCAATGATTAAATACACAAAACATCTGGATAAATTTAAACAATAAAAAGAGAAGGTTTCCCTGCAAAAAAATAAAATAAAATAAAAAATCTGCATGAAATTTAATAAAGTTTTGACTAAAACTGCTTTTGAATCTGCAACAGTCAGTACTACTAGTAATAGAGCAGTATTACAACTAGTATTAGCAGAGTAACAGTACTCCTTGTAATAGAGTAAAAGTATGCAAAAACAATTTAGTACTTTTACTAATTATGCCATAAGTACAATTACTAATAAAACTATTATAGTATTAGTAATGTTACTCTATTACTAATACTACTACTTTATTTATAAAGCACTTTAAAACAACCACAGCTGCGACAAAGTGCTGTACATATATAAAACCAAAACAAGAAAAACACAAAACAAAGATTAAAAACACTAAAACCAATGAAAAACARTAAAAATAGGAATAAAACTAAAAACAACTCTCAGCTGTGCCAAAAGCCAGGGAGTAGAAATATGTTTTTAGACAAGTTTTAATAGTACCGTACTAGTAGAACTGGTAAAAAGAGTAACAGTACTGCTAAAACAGTATAGTATCAGTAACTTTACTAGTACAGGTAATATAGGAGTAATAGTAATCGTTATAGTAATACTAGTGCTATTGAAACATTAGAAAATATTACTACTGGTACTAACATAGTAATATGTGTCTGATGTGAACAATAATACAGTAGTTTTCACATCATCAAGTGCCGCCAACAGAACCAAAACTACAGAAACATGCGTATGCCAGCCATGAAGTTGGTGTGGGGCTGCGCATATTTCCACGCTCATTTCACTCTTGATGCAACTGAAATTTTACGTGAAAAGGGGACGTACGCAAGCTTTAGTGTGCACACACCGTTGGTACATGAGGCCCTTTAGACCTGTTGATCGGACGTTTTAGTCTATAGAGCTTCTCAGCTGAAGTGGCCTGATGGGGACTAGTAAACAACTGAATCCAAGCTGCTGAAAATCAACCATTTAATAAATAAATATTTATATTTCAAAAACCTTAAATGTCACAAAAGTCATAACCATCACCTGAACGGGTCAGACAGTTAGAACTTTGAATAGCTGTTGTTTGATGAAGTGTGCAGCGGCACAAAAAACAGCAGAAGATGATCTGAACGGCATGTTTAATCCAGACTAGTAAATCAACTTTTTTTTATCAATCAATCAATCAATCAATCAATCAATCAATCAATCAATCAATCAATCAATCAATCAATAATTTATTAATTAATTTATTCGTTTATTTATTAATTAACTCTTCTGAAGTGGCCTCACCTTGAAGACGAGCTCTCGCAGTCGATCCGAGTGTTTGTTGTTGAGCAGGAGGGTGTAGCAGGAGTCGGCCGCCGCCGGCTCGAAGAGCAGCAGGAAGAGCTGATCTTTGGCTGGACTGCTCTGCAGCAAACTGAGCAGCATCTCCAACAGAGAGCACAGCTGCAGCACACACAACACATCTGGATTAAGCCTCTACACATGACCTGACATGTTCTGAAATGTCTCTACAGCAGTCTGATGAATATACGGAGYGCTCAATTCAAGCATGATAATCTTTATGGTTTGACTGTTTATCAAATATTTAGGTTTTGTTCAAAGGTTTCATGCTTTTCCAGATAAAGTAGAGTTTGTGAAAATGGTCTCATGAACTGAACAATCAGTATCTTACCTGTTGTAGATGGCTTTTTGAACAACCTCAGTTTGGAGAAATTAAGTTTAATTTGGACCAGATTATCAAGGTTTGAAGTTGTAAAACTCCAGTCCTAATGAAAAAATGCTGAGTTAGCTTTAAAACTAATGTTTTCTGGTTTATAGTTTTAGTACATTTTCTGAGTCAACCTTCTTTTGCAAACTTTGTGCTCATTTATAAATCAAAACAATCAGGAGACAGGTTCAGAATTTGTAACTTTTATACTTTTCAAATTAATTAACTTTACATATGAATATTTTCCCATAGAAACAAACTGAAAACTGCCTCAGTGTTTTTTTTTTCTTCTTATGCTTCTTAGCCTATAGCTGCCTTTCTGACACTTTTAGCTCTTAGCTAAGTCTTAATACTTTTAGCTTAGAGCTACAGCTTTGCTCCTTTTAGTTACCATGTTTCAGTTTTTAGTTTTAGTGTGTGTTGCTGGCTCCTGGCTGCCTGTAAGAGCCGGTACAGGACTCAGGGCTTCCACATCCTTAAAGCGGACCACGGCAGACTTACAAATTTTTAAGTGAGTGAATTTTAAATTTAAATTAAAATGTTTGTATAGCACTGGGATCCTTGTAGGATTTTGATTCTTATGCCTACATTTAAATCTGTTTCTCCAAACCGAGGTCATCCTCAACAGGTAAGACCCTAACTGTTTATTACCTTTCCTTGAAACCCCACTTCAGTATATCTGAGCTGTCACTTTACTGGATCTCCTCTGATGCTGCAACTTAAAGTTTGACGCAGTTTTTCCCGTCTGTTTGACTCGCCTGTTCTTCATCCCCGATGGCAGCGATGTATCCCAGAATGCTCAGCATCTCTTCCTGTGACATGCCCTTGCTGATATAGTACTTGACCAGGCCGCTCAGAGAGGCTCGGACGGTGCGGACGTCATCGTCGCTCAGGTTGTTCTCTTTGTTTGCGTTTCTCCTGAAGGAAAAAACAAAGAGAACAGATTACGATTTTTGGTGGTAAAGAAAAAAATCTAAACAAATCTACATTTCAGGAAGTGAGGTTTCACCCGTAATAAAGCCGAATGGCGTCTAACAGAAACTGAACTCCGTATTTCTTCCTGAACTGCTTCCTGTTATCTTTGATGATGGTGGACATGTACTGGATGTGGCCTGTCAGAAACAATGAACAGAGTATAAATACAACACGATAAGCACATGCACCTGATTTAACAGACGTAGGTCTAACCTATGCGGAGAGGGAAGTCTCCTTTGTTCCAGATGTTGAAGTTGAACAGCAGATGTGCGTGAAACTGCTGCAGCAGTGCCTGGTTCTTCTCGAAGGTCACCTGCTCGATCAGCAGCTGCATGGCCACCAGCATGCTGACGTCCACCTGCCCCGCAGGAAGCTGTGAAGACAAACAGACATGATGATGGCACCATGGGTCACGCAGATCTCTCCTACAGTGACCATGCTGACTCAGAAGTAAACAAATATGGACAAGAGACCTCAGTCTAACTGATCAACAGTGAGGTATAGTTGGATGTGGTAGTAGCTGAGAGTCATCCATGCCCATGTGTTTTTACAAGATATAACCAAAACGGCTCCAAACTGTCATAAAAATGTGTGAAAGCTGAAAAGCATTCAGGATACTGATTTGTTTTTCTTCTGTATATTTTTCTGCATACATCTCGTTTGTTTTTTGTGCTATTTCAGCAAATTTTATAGCAGAACTTTCAGCTCCTTCCTCTTTGAGATAATTAGCCTTTTTTGTTTTCAGTAAAAATGAAAGGAGCTGTTTTCAACATCCTTAAAATCCTTCAAAATAGTTCAACTTGACCTGCACTTTTTACCTTTTGTTCTAGGTCTGCTTTTTTAACTTCTTTGTGCTAATTTTAGCTTCCTTCAGCTTTTTTGTTGTTAATTTTAGTTTTTCTTCTGCTTTTTCAACTATCTTTCTACCTTTTTCGGTTATTCTGTTAATTACATTTTTTGGCGATCTATCACCTTCTTTCTGCTAATTTAAGCTTTTTATGTTTATTTGAGCTGTTTTCTGCAATTTAAGAAAAATGTTTTAGCTTTTATCACTTTTTATGATAATTTCAGTTACTTACTGCTTAATTCAGCAAACATGCTCTTTTTCTGTTTCGCTGAGCCAGATTTAGCTTTTCAGTTATTTCCCCCCTCAACATATTTCAGCTTTCTGATGGAAAAAATAGTTTGTAATTTGGAGCTACTTGAAGATAAACTTGGATGACATTTGGACAGTAATGTCAGTAAAGTTTGACTGTAATGTTTAAGAACTAATTCATTACTCCATCAGTACTCAGGGTTGATAAGTACCCAAACTGAAGTACTTGWATTCTGTTGAGTCATGAAGGTGATAAAAATCTGCASAGATCTGAGTCTCTAACTGTACAGCCTGTATAGTTGGACCATAAAACCTTGATAACGTGTAAAATAAGACGATTGCAGACCTTTTGYAGCAGGGCTCCCAGAGTTCCCACACCGTGTGAGTGGAGCAGAATCTCCTGGTTGATTTGGTGTCTCTGCAGAAAATGTTTCAGAACCAGAAGGAAAGTGGCCACCAAATTCTTCTCCAGGCGTGCCTCTGAAACCGCACAGAAAGTTTAGAAAACCAAAAAATAAATAGGCGGTGTTTCACAGATCTCACAGCAGAACTGACCYGAAGCTCGGTTAGAGGGGAGAATAACCCAGTCTCCGTCAGCCGGCGTGGTCACATCCGGGGTTAGAGAGTCAGGTCCAGGTGTGGGATCACTGGTCTGTTGGTCCGGGGTCATCAGGACCAGCTGCTCCAGCACGGGGAAAAGCACCGGCAGGCCTCCCACACAGTTAATCATATCCTGGTCCAGAGAGGAGACAGGTTCAAACAACCAACCTGGTTTAAACTAAAGTACCTCCAACAGTACATCATACTCTGTCAGTAAAATATCAAATATCAAAGTAATCAGTAAGTTGTCCTGTCTTATRGATGGACAAATAGGACAACCTTTTATAGACAGTCCGTAAGACARTCCACACTAAGTTTTCCCATTTGTCCATAAGTTAGGAAGGTCCTATGGTAGGACAGATAGGACAACTTCCTCTGGACTGCTTTATAGGTGGACAGACAGGGACAAGCCAAGGACGTCAAACTTTGAGTGGCCCAATGTTGGCTATTCTACCTGTACAATCAACAGAGAGCCACCTTGACCCATGAGGTGTCCAGCTATCCAGGTGGACAGGCCTGTGTCTCAGGACAGACATAGAAAAGGCAAACATGAGGAGATGAAGGACTTTCACTCACCCTGATATCCCAGTTGACAACTTTTCTCCCCGTCAGGCGTCCATGCAGCGTGTTTGGAGACAGATCGAGGCAGATGGGGTTTCTGCAGGCCTGTTGACAGAGAAAAGGTTTTAGTCAACACCAGAACCAGAACATAACCCATGATCGAGACAGTATCAGGTCACTGGGTATAACTGAGAACCAGTTCTGAAGTCTCTCTCACAGATTAAGATTCTGAGGCCAGTTGTTCAAAAATAATCCAATCAGACTTTGGATAATAAAATGGACAACATCTTGAAAATGGGTTGTTCAAAACCAATAACCGATTCTGAAATGGGATTAGATCAAGTAATCCAATCCTGGTTTTAACCTRAATCAAACCCTCAGTTTGTGCTGTTGAAAACATTTTAGTGGGATTGGGATAACTTTGATACAAAAAAATCTGGATTATTCTGATCCCAGCAGTTTAATGGATTCAGGGTAAATTTCAGGAACAAAATATGATTTACATTAAATTCCTTTCAGTTTTCAATTCAATCATGTAGCAGATTTACATTAATTTGCTGATTTTTTTTAATCTTTTCACTGATTTTCACTCCATTACAGGTGAAATTACAGASTGAATTAGACCAGGGGTTGCCAACTTGTAGAGAAGTAGAAATAAAACAATCTTCTCAATAGCTGTCAAAATGAAAAAACAAAAACAAAAACAATTTTAACTTTATTTGTAAACCTATTATTTACAGCCTAAAGATCATTAAAAGAGCAGAGGTAGAGATTCACCATTGCTTTAAACCAACTGCAGCAAACCAAAGCCAAACATGATCCTTCTCCTGAAAGCAAAGTCTCCATTTTTTTTGCATGTTTTGAGGTCAACATTTTAATTTTAAAATGAAGTTTTAAATTTAAAACACATGAAATATATTTTGGTTTTTATTTTTGTGTAAACAATATGGCTGGAGAAGAGATTATAAAAATGGGGTGTTTGCACTGATTTATTTATTTTTAAATAAATACACTTTGAGTGACCCTAAGTTGGCTATTCTACTTGTTTTACATACCCACTAACCTTCAGTGCGACATCAAGTCTAATTTAGAGAACTCATTATCCAGATTTGGTAATCTTGAAAAGTTGGATCCAATAAAATCATTTAAGATTGATCTAATCTAACTTTTCTTTAAACAACTGGGATAAAAGTAAGACAGATTACGTGATCCTGGATAGCAAAAAGGGGGTTCAAAATCCAGATATTTTTTTATCCAGGTTAGACCTTTTGAACAACTGGGTTCTGGATTTRAACTGGTGCTGCTGCAGTTCTTCTCCTGAACAGTAGGTGTCACTATTTAATAAATTATACAGCTACACAGCCGAAACAGAATTTCTACTTTATTTTTAGGCTTTTATTTCTTGTAAAGCAATTACAAAAAAATCCAGATTAAATCCCAAAACTTCTCAGCTGCTTGTTGGTGAAATGGCACCACCTGCCTGTAGTGTGGATTATATCAGATTAGGATTACCTTTGGCGAGTAATGCAGCAGGAGTTTGGTTGAAATGTCAGCGAGTTCTGATTCCTGGGCCTTAAAGGGAGAGATGCAGTTTGGACCTGAGTGGATTAAAAAAAAAAGAAAAATAAACGTAAAGAGACCAAAGATTTTGTGATTTTGCAATCTGATTCCATGCTGCTCACCAGCGCTGCAGATTGCCTTCAGGTGATTGGGCTGCAGCGGCTCGTGAAACACCATGACGCTTCCGAGCTGGCCCTGCAGGGACGTCGGGCTCCCCCACTCACTGTCCTGGGTCCCCGCCGAGATCAGCTTGGTCACGGACTCGGGCTTCCCCCCCAGGAGCCCGCCCCAGGTCTGCGGCGAGAGGATGCCGCCGAGCGAGGAGCGGGTGGTGGGCGTGGCGGCAGCAAAGAAGGGAGGGTCTGGGATTTGGGAGGGAGGGGGAGTGGTGGTGCGGTGGCCCGCCGAGCCGATGCAGCAGGAGGTGAACGGCTGGCGGGTGGGGTKGGGACAGACAAAATGTTTGAGGTGGAGCTTCATGATCCGGTATCTAAATAAAGTCTGAGGCTCACCTCTGTCATAGTGGGGTACTTCAGGGGTGCGGATAACTTCTGCTGTCCGTCCACATAAAGGTAGACGAGACTCTGTCCAAAGGGCCTCTTCCCAGGTATGTGGACCACACCGATGCTGTGCTGTAGACCCAAATTCAGCCTCGTTAACACCGAACGGCTGTTTCTTCTCATTAGCCYTTATTTCTGTTCTCTTTGAGCAGCGGACTCACCCAGAGAGAGTCACAGAAGCAGTAGTCAGGCAGCATGACGGTGACGTACTCCTTCTTGGTGCACACAGCCACCACCAGCACCCCCGCCGAGCTGATGAAAGCCTCGAAGCCCGTCCCCCCCGGGGTGAAAAAACTGCACAGAATGGAAAAACCAAGTGTTTAACGTACACTTCCTCTGATAAAAAAATTATCTGATGATATGAAGATTGATTAATTTTCTAATTTCATGTTTTCTGACCTGTAGAGCTGCTTTCTTTTGTCTTTGCTGAGCGGACCCAGCTGGTCCTGGTCTAGAGACAACCAGGCATGGAAGCTGAAGGCAGAACCCGGCCAGCGCTGCACCGTTGGAACCGCGATGCCAGCCATACTGGGCGACAAATCAAAGTACTGCATGGCGCTCTCGAGGCCCTGCGTGCGAACCATGGTCAGGAGGGCCCTCAGAGCCGGGCCAACGTACGGATGTGCCCGGTTGGGCTCCGTAGGCCTGAGGAGACGCAGGAGTCCAAGCAGTTCTCTGGAGCTCAGGGACTGAGAGCCCAGCGAGCCCACCAAACCAAACAGGCTTTCGGAGCAGGCACGGTGTAGTCGTTCGTGGTGCTCCAGAGCGGCCAGAGCTCGCAGGACCATGGCGGCGTTGACGCAGGTGGCCCGGGTCTGGCGGTTGAGGCAGCTCAGGAGGCGGAGCCAATCCGCCGTAAAGAGCTGTAGTTCTGGTGAGTCCAGCTCGGGCAGCCACTGGACCAGGAGCAGCAGAGGCTCTACGTTGCTGATCCCGAGGAKTCCCACAGAGGTGTGCTCGCCCTCCACTGCCTGGACAGAAAAACACACAAAAACTGTAACAAAGACAGAAAACATTCCTGAAATACAAAGAGACTATTTATTTACCATGTTCATTAGTTCTTTGAGGAGGTGTCGGGACGGCTGGCCGAGTGAAATCAAAACTTCGTACAGATGATTGTAACCGATCCTCTCCTTAAAAACCTCCTGCAGCAGCAAAACAGCAAACAAGGAGTAAAATTAAGTGTTTAATACCAGCAACTTAATCTCGCTGGTCACTGACTTGCGACTCGCTACAAGACTTAAATTTARACTCTAACTGTTGYCTTTCTATTAAGAACCTAATCAGGWGACCAATAATGACCTTTGCAGCTGGTGATTTATGCATCACAGTTGTCAGGGCTTTGATGGTGGACACAGCGAGGCAGTCAAGTCGTCCTTGTAACACCTGATGRAATAAAAAAAATTGTGATGTAATTGTTAAAATAAGCGAAGATGGCGCAACATTTCTTATTATAGACGAGTGTTACGAAGGAATAACAAACATGCAGATGATTAAAAGCATCAAATGTGCTGTAGCAAAAAAAAAAATCACTTTAAGATTTTAAAACAAATTGCATCACAAATATGAGCTGATTTGTTGCCTTTGATTTAGGGCTGGGTGATGTATCTAAAAAAAATGGCCTCATTGCAGGGGTCAAGTAAAGTTTTAATGGCTATTTTTTTGGCATTACTATGTTCCATTTTAAATTAAACCAAAGCTAAAACATCAGATCTGAGCTTTAAAACCTGCTGGGTGAACCTGACCAGGTGTTTAGCTTTTCCCAGGCACTTCTAACATATCACAGATCTCWATTTAAAGGTGCTTATTTGATGGAAACAAAAGAAACGACTCAATAAAAGTTAGCAGGTGTTTGGAGATGTCAAATTATCAAACAAATCTGAAAAAATTACCTTTTGCTCATGAGTGATTTGGTTTTCACTGGATAACATTGAACAAATGAAGCTTAGTTACTGTAACTGGCTGTTTGTTTTTTTAAATGAAGGAATCTGAGCCTGATTGAGGATATTCAGCTTTTCACCATCRGGACTTTCAGAGTGTTAAAAATGGAAGAAGATCATCAAGACTGCTGTCTCTGCAAAACCTCCAGTGGCTGAATCAGAGGATATCATTCTGGTCATATCACCCAGCCCTACTTTGACTTTGATTCAGTTAGTCTGTGAGAGAAAAATCATTGACAACAACTTAAAACCCTGTTTGTCGTAACAATATGAGCAGGCATCAAAACTCCTGCTGCAGCTGTTTTTTTTCTAACTGACAATAAAGGAAGCGTCGTCTGGAGCAGGAAGCTCACCAACATCCAAACAAGTACCTTAAACATACTTGGCATGCATCCCATAAAAACAAACAAACAAGCCACGGCACAAACACATCTCCGTCCAGCTCTGTCCTGCTCATTTTATGTTCCGGTGAACCTTTCAGCTAAAACACCAGAAGAACTGTAAAAGTGCAGGGTTCGAAATCAGAGTCTTGGACCAGCTGGAGAAGAACCAAAATGTGAACGCTTCAGTCTGTATGTTACTGGGCTGCGGTTGTTGGTGACAAGAGTTTAAAAAAAAAAAGCCAACTAAAAAAGTTCAAAGAGATTCTCAGTTTCCTGGAAGGAGTCGTGGGGACTCGCTCTGGAATTTTGAACAACTTTGAAAATATTTGCAAAACAAATATTGTGTCAGAACTGTTGAGAACCGTCAGGGAGTTCTAGAACCTTAAGAGAACACTGAAGAAAGAAAATGAAATATGGTCATATTAAGAAATAATTAAGTCACTTTCTCTTTAATTTTCTACCTTTGGTCACAAACTCTGGATAGCGACTGAAAGAACCAGATCTCAGATTCAGGAGGTCCAAATGAGTTTTCTCTGCAGGGTAGCTGGACAAGCTGAGGAGTTCAGTTCTCCAGGAGAGAGTAGAGCTACTGTTCCAAATCCAGAGGAACCAGCTGAGGGGGTTCATCTGGTAAGGAGGACCCCTGGATGCCTCCCTAGGGAGGTGTTCTGGACATGTCCAACTGGTAGGAGACCCTTGGGGAAGACCCAGGACACTCTGGAGGGACTGTCTCTCAGCTTGTCTAGGAACACCTTGGAGACTTCCCAGAACAGCTGGAAGAGGTGGCTGTGGAAAGAGAGGCCTCTTTCAAGCTGCTGCACCAGAGACCTGACTCTCGACCAAGAGAAAGATGATGGACAGGGATTTACTCGCAATTTTCTATCCCAAACTAGTCACCAACAGTCAGAACCTAGTAAGATACCACCCTCAGTCCAGATCACATCAAACATCAGAACTCGTGACAACATTCCAGATGAACCCAGAGTGTACCGCAGGAAATCAGGAGAATGTGCAAAGTGAGCAAAGAGAGCCTGGGAAGAGTGAGGAGACTGAAAATGACAAAAAGATTCGAAAATAAAAAGCAAAGAAGTCATTCAACAGCAAGACCAGAATTAAATGTTYCTCCTCCAAACATGGCCTCCCCGTACAACCCCAGTTAAAAAACTGTTTATTTTTAGAAGCAACAGTAGAAGGGTCTTGCTGTGAAGTGACTCGGGTGAGGTGAAGGGTTGGGTTTGGTAGGACAGGTAAGGTGAATGACACGGGTGAGGCTTTATCGTTGGTACCTGAGCGTCTCCCTCTCCTGTCTGTAACCTGTTGTTGGTTATATCTTTCTGGTCCTTGTCTGCCGCGGTGCACCTAGCGTTAACCAGCTGACACACAACAGGCAACACGTCAACTCAACGGTGAGAGGTGGGAGGAAGTCGAGAGAAGGAGGACACGGAGACGAGAGGACGGTGCATCGGGAGGAAGGGAGGAAGGATGTCGTGAGTGGAGCAGAAGGTGTGAGGTTAAAAAGCCATGACCCTTTACAAAATGTGTTGCTGTGAGGAAGTTAAACATGCAATGTGGACAAAACAGCTTTGTGTCACACAAACTCTGAAATGCTGCTGTGGACAGACCAGAAATGGACAAAATATCCAAATTACAGTTCATTTTTCATTCGTCCTTCTTCCACTTATTAAACATTACTAAGAATATACTGTCCCAAAAATCAACAACACAACAAAACATTTAACCCTTCTAGGCTGGATTATCATCATTCTTCATTATCTGAGTGCTTTTTTAGGTTTTGTTTTTATTAAAGGAGACATTTCATGCTTTTAAATCCTTCTTTTCGCACATGAAAATCCTTCAGTTGGGGTCTATATAAGTGGAACTGCAATGATTTGGTCTGAATTCCTCCTTATTATAACTTTACYAGCCTTGTTTTGACGCTGTCTCTTTAAATTCAGAGGAGGCACTTCCAGAGTGGTCTATTCCAGTTTGATAGAGGGGTTTACATCAATCTAGCAGCATAAAAACATTTTATTTACAAATTAATTAAAGATGTCAACAACAGAAGACTTCTACATCCAGCCTTATATGTTGAAGCCAGAGTCTGACTAAGAGCCAGAGGACAACGAGGACATGAAACTATAGCTGAAAAGCCCAGACCTTCTTTAAAAGTTCTATCGCAAAAACTSTGATGTAATAGTTCAGAAAACTTCATAGAAAATAGAGAAAACTAAACAGGTTGAAAAATATGACCCCAACAGTGTATAAAGACATCTTTGCAGCACTTGGAGAGACTAATCTAAACTTTTCTGCAATCCTAGAGACTCAAAGAAAACAACAAAATGTATTAAACAGCTAAAAAGTGGATTTTGCAAGATGTTACCTTAAATTCTTTAGTTGAGAGGTGAGAAATCATTTCTCCAGTTTTAACTTTTCTTTCTGTCAAATTCAGATTAAAATGTAAAATCTAAACATACAAAGCTCTCAACAACCAATCTCCATCATATATTAAACATCATATATATACACCAAACTTTACAAACAGTGCACTTCGCTCTCAGACTGCAGGTTTACTTGTGGTTCCTGGAGTTTCTAAAAGTAGAATGGGAGGCAGAGCTTTCAGTTATCAAGCTCCTCTCTTGTGGAACCAACTTCCAGTTTCTGTCCGTGAGGCTGTCTACTTTTAAGACTACAGACTTTTCTTTTTTGATAAATCCTAAAGTTACAGTTGGTTTGGGTTTCCTGAGCTATCCCCTTAGTTTTGTTAAAATAGCCTTAGACTGCTGGAGCACAAACTGACCACATTTCATCAGTTTGCTCTTGTCTTTACGTTTGAATTTATTTCTATCATTAACCTGCTTAGTCTGTCTTCCCATACAGACTGCACCTGAACCATAGAAAAACACTGGACTATAGGAACTACTGGACCATAGGACCATCAGTTATTCTGTGATTGTGTCTCTCTCCTGTCCTCTCTAACCCCAGCGTTAAAAAATACTATGATTTATTTCCTTTTTAAGACAAGTCTAAGTTCCTTGACCTTCTTTTCTTCTACAGATTCAGTTTCAAATAAAATTCATCAGCTTCCTGAATATGTTAGAGGAAAATAGACAATATTTTACTGTTTTTCTGTGATAGATTGTTAAATATTTTTTGTTGTTGCTGTTTATTACTATAACCTTTAAATCAACCTAATTTGTGTGAACACAGAAAAAAAAAAAGAAAGAAATTTTAACATTTGATTTGATGTCCACTGGTCAAACAGAACGTTGTCCAATTTTGTTCACCTGTTGATGAACTGATGCATTTCTATCATTTATATTAGATTTTAAATGGTTAAAAAACAAAACTGCACTTCCTGTTGGGGTATAAAAGAACCTTTGTGTCATAGATTTAGCCACAGGAGACTTGTCGAGTATAACTGATAAGTAAAGACAAAGGCTGGATTGTTCTGCATTCTGAGCTCATAATTATGAAAGACCGGATCGGATTGGAGAGGCAGCTCTGGTTCTTACCTTGCTGTTCTGCAGAAGTCGTATCAGATGCTCAAAACAGTTACTGTTGAGAAAGATGGCTTGTAGAACCGGCCTGTCCGAACACAGGAACATGTCCCTGATCGTGTCTGAAGGGTGAAAAACAAGATATCAACACAAGACTTAAATAAAATCACTCAGAGTTCTGGTTTCAGTTAAGACTTTACCCAACATGTGGACTTGCAGCGCCACAAATCGACACTCCCAGTGTCGGCCCAGAGCGGGAACTCGGCCTTTGGCTTGCTGCTGCTGCTGTCGGGCAGAAATGACAGCTGCTGGGTCCGAGTTGAGCAGCTTGAAGTAATTTTCTAGAACGGAGACGATCTCCACCTGCCGCTGGTCGGAGCTGGAGGCCAGGAGGCACTGCACCACCTCCCGCAGGCAGCCCAGGGTCAGCAGCGCCATCGGACTGACGGCCTCGCTGTCCCAGTCCTCCGCCTCRTCCGAGGACCTGCTGCCCGTGTAGCTGTCCGCCAGCACCCGCATCAACACCTCCATGGTGGCTGGAGAGATGGCAAGCAGAGCATTCCTCTGGCAGAGGACAAGAGAATAGGGGGGAGACATTTAAACTAAATTAAGTGGTGGTATAAAATAAATATAAGCTTATCTTTTCTTTGAAAGCAGAAGAAAATGTAGGAAGCTTTGAAAATCATTTTGAAAACTGGAAAAATTACACATTTCATAAACCTGTCTCACTAAAATCTGAGAAAAATTACCAAATGATGATGATATTCGTATGGTAATGATTTCACACATTTTATTGTCTTTTGGTGTCTGTGGTCACACTTAACTGGTTTAGATCATATTTGGTGAAAAGAACCATGTGCGTCTTTTGGGGTTCCACAGGGCTCAATCTTTGGTCCTGTTTTATTTTATTTTTCCCCTTTACCTGCGTCTTTAGTGCTGGACAGTATACAGGTTCGTACTGAGTACCGTTTTTTATTTTTGTTATGATATGAATTTTCTGAATACCGACATACCGGTTTAAATAGCCTGAACAAGTGCGGAACGTTTCGTCGCGGCCACTGTTTCCCGGGGGACACTTTTCCTCGCTGCACCGCTATATGCGTTAGCATGCTAATGTTATTGTTGCAGTGGCGGCTGGCGATTCCGCTTCCTATATTGGCTGAAGTWAAAAAAAAAACATCCAGTTTTCACCGTCGCTGAATCTAGTAAACACCTCTTCAGTGACATGCATGGTTAGATATAACGCGACTTTAATATGGAGACATGGAGACGCATGGAGAGTTTAGAGTAATTCTATTGTGAAAAACCGGGGGTAAAACGTTTTGTAGTGGAATTGACTGACTGGTGTGCAAGGTGAGTTGTGCTGTTAATCTTTATTAAATAACATAAAACAATAGACCCAATAATAATCTTTTCTTAACCCTCCTCCTTCACGACCGGACCAAAATGCATTACTACTGTCTCCAACAATGAGGAGAAGAAAAGACGTTTAGAGGAGGGAAACAGCGACACAGACAGAGGTACAGTAAAAGAAAAAAGTTAATAAGCAGTGTTTGTACATTTTATTATCAGCTGACCTGTGATGAAAAGAAAAATATCGTGATATACTGTGAAACTGGTGTAAATGTTGAAAATAATGTGATATAAAATTTTGGTCATATCGCCCAGCACTACTGCGTCTGTACTGAATACTCAGGAAGCACGGGATATTTATTTATCATTATGTTGATGATGCTCTGATTTATACACCTCTGAAAAAGAAAGATTCGCTCTCCGTTCAGCCACWTCTGTTGTGTCATGTAGACAACAAAGCCTGGATTTTCCTAAATTTCTTGAATTTTAATGACAGAAAAACTGAAGCAATGGTGTTTGGTCCCTGAGAGGATTCTGTAGGACCCTGGTTTTACTCCACTGGCTGCCTGGTAATTCACTTTAAGTTTCTTTTATTTGTTTTTAAACCTTTAAAAGGTCTGGCTCTTGTACTCAGGTCAGCTGATCGGCTGCTCCTGGAAGTACTGACGTCCAAATGGAGGCTCAGAGCGGACAGAACTTTTACAGAATGACCTTCAATTTAATATCAGACAAGCTGAGACTTGCTTTTGCTTATTTAATTTCTGTTTTTGTTTTTACTGATCTTTTTGTTGTAACAGTTTTTATTGAGTTTATTCTTTAAATGATCTGTTTTTAAGTGCTTTATAAATAAAGCAGTAATAGTTATTGAGGAGCTCCAGGTCAAGCTGAGGCTCACCTGATCACCAGCTACTATGGCTCCAAACAAGTGCAGCAGGCAGCATTTGAGACTTTCCTTCAGGTGTTCGCTCTCCTGGAAACACTCTGAAACAAAAGGCACAAATCATTTTACCTGCAAACATAACTCGTGTCTTTATGACAGCGTACAAAAAGACACATTTATTTGACTCGTCACACAAGGAGAGTCAATAAAATAGCAGCAGAGAAAGGAGAAGATATCCCACAMTGAACACAAATACACTCAGGCATGTGGCTGTTAACCTTTGGGTCACGATGGACCGAGTCATCCATTAACCCATCTGTCAACACATCTGAGAAGAAAAACTCTGCCAATTTGGCTCCATAATGTCTGCATTCTTTGTCTTAAACCACCAAGTTTCAACAATACTGTACACTTAAATAGTCTGGTTTTCAACAATATCCTAACAAAAAAAAATCATATTTGTCTGCAAAACAAATAAATACATCTTTGAGAGCAGCCACACTCACACAGGAGAGAAAGGACTGTTTGTTCAAAATGGCCGCCGGCGTGGCTGAAGTGCCATTCACTATCTGCTCATCTCAACGCCTGGCTGACAGACTGAAGAAACAAAGAGTGGATTCAACGAGACACGAAGAGGAAAAGAAGAGAAGGAAGGAGTGGAAAGACGGGAGCTGAGAGATGTCCTTCGTTGCAGCGGACCATCGATTTCTCATCAGTGCTCGTTGGGTCAATTAAAAGGAGAAGACGAGGCCATCTGCGCCCATCAGCCACAACCAAAAAACCACTGATGAAGCAGTAAATATAGCAAGTTTATGTCTGCTCATCGGAAGAAGGACTATGAAGATTTTTGGCGCTTTTAATGATGTATTTGAACCAGTCTTTTCCCAGATTCAATGGTTATGCATCCTACTATATCAGTAGTTTGAATTTATTGCGTATTTTTGTTTTAAAGAGGGTTAGAACTATAGCTACAAACTCAGGYAAATACTTACATTCATCTAAATATGTTCTTAAGTTCAAGAATGAATAGTGTCGTTATACATTCCTGGTGGTCAATAGTGGTTTCAAAACAAAGTAAAYCCAGGTATTTGAACCTACTGTACTGTAAGGATTGACCGCTAWGAGGTGAAAAAAGAGGAAATGCTGCAAACATGTTGCCTCCTGTCTCCTATTACAACTAAATTGTTTAGTGTAGACAAAAAGCATCTACACCATTTGTGTCAAACTCAAAGCTCACATTTTATGTGGCCGGCAAGAGCTTCAAAGATGTATTAATGTCTTAAAATAAACTGCTTTAAAGCCAGCATTGACCATAAACTATGTCTCACATCATGAATGTTGATTATTTTACCCGCAAAACAATGGCACCCCACTGCGAGGTGGAGGTGCTCAGGGTTTAAAAGTAGACAGCAGCTGGTGAAAGTTGCAGTGTAAAATCTCTATTCCACTGCATTTTTGACAGCTAATTTTCCTGCAATTGTACTGTGAAGTAGGAGTTTCTCACTTACAAGTCATAAATTTAAACTGGAAATTTAAACCTCTTTTAAAAGTATTTCTGTCTCGATTGTCAGATCTTTAATAAGTGAAGCTGTTGTTTGCCGATCAAGACGGCAGCAACAGAGTGTCTAGATGTGTGACGTCACACAAGAACTATGGATTACCTTCTTGTTAGTGATCATAATCGACTGCAGCTGGCAGTTTGATAAGTGTTTGACAGCACTTGTTGAATTGACCAGCACTCTCAAAGGCAGGGAAATTGGTATGGATGTTCAGAAACCACCAAGGCTCAAGCCTGCCATGTACTGGAAACTTCTGTCCAGACTGGGCCAGTTTTACATAACTGTGGTCTGGGAGGACCAAGACATAGGGCCTTGCTCTGACTGAGAAACCTTCAAGCTTGACTAAAACCCACATGAACAAGCCAAACACCTTCGGGAGAAAAGTTTTATGGTGACATAAGAGACAGATTGGAGCTACTTGTCATAATTACAAGAAAGACCTAAGAACACTAAGTGGTGTTCAGCATGGTGGTGGTAGCATCATGTTGTGGTGCCAAACAAACACCTGGATGGGTAAAACTTGGACATAGTTGCATTCTAACAGGACAATGATCCCAAAACCCCATCAGAACTGGAATTAATTAATTGTGGGTGGTGCTTAATAGAGCCATGAAACCAATCAGCTTAAATGTACTCAATCAATTCTTCCAAGAAGAAGAGTCAAATATCCAGACAGAATTCCACCGAAGCATTTAATAATTAAAATATTCATCACAACTTCAACCGAGGGGAAATACAAGAAAATCCACAGTAATTTTAAAACTCGTGCACCCAGTTTTTGTTTTTTAAAATTATTGAAGTTGTATGTTGTGTAATTGTTCAACCTGGAAAAAGAACCGTCCAAATGAACTACTGAAAGCTAGAAGTTCATGATATATATGATCATAATGCGTGGACTGGACCAGAGTTAGAGGAAGTCATAGTTCCTCACATTCATGAAGACCAAAAGAGGATGGGGAAGCTATTGTATACGAGGTACAAGAAAGAAAATTATAAATAAATAAATAAATATATATATATGGTTTCACAGTGTTATAATGAAGCATTTAAAAGCAGCTCAAAGTTGGAAGACTTACGATAGAAGAAAGGAACAAACTCAACGGTGAGAGGTGCCGCCTTGTACTTCTGCCTGCTCCTCTCCACCGTACCCAGCTGCTCCCTAAAGGAACAGAAGTAAAATGAAAGCTCAGAGTGAAACACTTGGTTTTAGGTTATGCTGCTGAAACACTTGTCGATCATAAATGAGTTGAGGGTGTTCAACTTTTTAATTTGTCATGTTGTTACTGAAGTGATCTCTGACTACTGTCACAGGGTAGACTTATGTTATTTCTCTATTCTACTAAAAGTTGTTTGTGACACATAAAAACATCTAATTACTTATGTGTATATATGATTATTACATTTTCATGATGGTATCAAATGTTTAGCAATTAATGCCTAATACTACCACTAGATGTCTTCAACAAAGAAACGGTGTGCTGTTACCCTCGTGTCCGATGCCTCCAGTTGTGGTACGGGTCGTAGAGGCTCTCGCAGAACGCCAGTGAGTGACGGACGAAGTCTTCCGCCTGACTCTGGTCCATCAGCTCCTTCTCTTTGGTCCTGCTCTTCAGCTGAAACGCCACACATGAGGGGGATTTATGTAAAACCGTACGTGGTGCAGGATGAGGGTAAAAAGAGGAGTCCTACCTGTTGGATGTACAGTGTTGTCATGGTGATGATGTGATTGATGTAGGAGCATGTGCCAATCTCCTCAACATTAGACAGGTTCCTTTAAAAGAAAACAGTTCAAATACAAAAGCAAACTCACCGATGAAACAGAATCTTGATGATGTTTTAAAGTTTCTTCTATCCTGACCTGCAGATGATGATGAGGAACTTCAGCAGCAGCAGAGCCAGATGCTGCTGCTCAGGCTCCAAACCATCAGAGGCCTTTTGGACGCACTGCAGCAGCTGGTGGCGCAGAACCTGCAGGATGTTGTCGGGCAGGAGCGACAACACGGGCGGGACCTCGTCAGGTCTGGGAACACGGAGAGGCAAGTACACAAGATGTCCCATTAGGTATTAATGTCTCGGTGTATTGGAGAGAAACCCAGACCTCCCTCAGGTTTAGTTTGTTCTAAAACAATGAATTGATATGAATGCAGCTTGTATTTTCACCTTGACAGAGGCTTCTCAAAGTCCACATCGAGGCACTGCTCATACGAGCCGATGAAGATCTCCAGCCAGATCTTGAAGTAGTCTGGATCCCTCTGAGGAACGAAGGATCAAGGATGAGGAGCCAGGAGGAAAGAGGGAAACACGATTAATGAACTTTGTGGACAAATGCTGTGAGACTAAAACTAAAAGTGTATTTCATCTGTGACGTTTTGAGAAGAACACAGATGAGATGTRATGAAAAGTGAAAGATAAAGATAAAAATGATTGATTAAAAACAGGATTAATGTTTTGTGTTTTTTTTTCCCCCTAATCCATTCATCCTCTTGGTCCAGAGTCAGGACTCAGGGGCAGCAGATTGATCAAGGAGGTCCAGACCTCTCTTTCCACAGCCACCTCTTCCAGCTCTTCTGGGAGGACTCCAAGGTGTTCCCAGACCAGCTGAGAGACAGTCTGGGTCCTGGGACATCATTGGGGTCTCCTCCCAGTTGGACGTGTCCAGAACACCTCCCTGGCAGTCATTTTAGCTGGAGTCTGTTCTGTTTTATGACACCCTCTTTCAGCTGGTAACATCTTTGGACACCCCGTCCATTTTTGGTCGGTCAAAAGTTTGTTTATTTTTACTCTAGATAAATTTTATAAACTTCCATACACTACGTAAGCGGCGGAGGGATGACCGCAATCATTTTATGAAGCCAGAGGAAGAGACAAAGAATAACTTGAACCGACCTGGATAGAGGAAGTGGATAGCGATGTTACAGCTTCAGTATCAGTTGTTGTGGGATGCTTTCAGTCTCAGCCATATATAACTTTTTCCTCTCCATAAATTTTGTAAGCTTCTGTGAGCTTCAAAAGTGGTGAAGGGGTTGACAGCGTTACTTTGTGAAGCCAAAGGAAGATTAATAAAGAATAAATTGTGCTGGCTTGGATAGAGGAGATGGGTAAAGGTGTAACAGCTTTAGTAGCTGTTATTTCTCTGGTCCGGTCGCAACTTCTTTCACCTACGTAAATTTCGTAAGCTTGTGTAAAGTTAAGGGGTGGGCKTGGGATTGGCTCAGCTTAAAGTGTCAACACCCTCCCCTGAAATCCTACCTAAAAGCCTGCTCCCTAAGGAGGCGTCCAGAGGTCCTCCTTACCAGATGAACCACCTCAGCTGGTTCCTCTGGATGTGGAGGAACAGCTCTACTCTGAGTCTCTCCTGGAAAACTGAACTCTTCAGACTGTCTCTAAGGGAGAGTCCAGCTACCCTGCAGAGAAAACTCATTTGGACCTCCTGGATCTGAGTTTAAAAAAAGACTCTCTTTACACCTCAGCTCTGAAACRCGATGGATCGACACGAGTCTCTGAAAGCCACACTGATCCATCTGTAGACCTCACATTCTTTGTTCACTGTGAACCAAACCCTGAGATACTTTAAAGTCCTCCACTAGACGTACATCCTCACTTCCAATCCTTTTCAGACCAAGAACCATGACCTCAGTGTATCTTGAGGAACACGTTCATTCCACAAAACACATGTAGACTGGTTGGGCAGAGTCCTGTGACCCCTCAAGGACCACAAAGCGGGTGAAGAGATGACCCTGTGTTCCACGGTCAGGACAGAACCCTCACTGATCCTCCTGGATCTGAGGTTCRAACCTGGGCTTAAACAGTTGTTTCTCAAAGCAGTGAGTTCATTTGGCAAAAGAGTGGAAGAGCGTCGGGTTCTGCCTGCGTGTCAGAGAGGAAAATCAGCCAAAAACCGAAGCAGGAAGTCTGCATGGATCTGATGGAGCAGACGAGTGAAACCTGCACTGTGAGCACCAGAGAGAGACATCTGGGAAACAGCAGAAGCTAAACGAGAATAAAAGACTCTTCTGGGAGAATGGGTCTTTTGTCAGAGTTACCGTAAATCAACACCGRAAGAAGAAGCTCGGTTCAGATCCAAAACTACAAACAGTTTATAATTTAGGATTATAAATATTCTGATTGTTACAGAAGAATCATTTGAAGATTCGTTTATTCCAGCAGCTTCACAGGAGTCAGACACTGAATAAGTGTCTGTGTGTGTATACGTATTTGCTACATCATGGGGAACATATTTTAGAAAAACACAGCCTTGTGGGGACCGAATGCTCCTCATGGGGAACAAAGCTTGGTTCCCATGGGTACAGATGCTGATTTTGGGTGGTGAGGGGTTAGGTGTAGGACCAAGGTGAAAATTGAGTTTAGGCTAGATTTAGGGTCAGGTATGTACTAGGGTGATAAGGTTTAGGTCTTTAGGGTAGAGGGCCAGGGTTAGGGTACAGAAATGACTGGAAAATTAATGGAAGTCAATGTAAAGTCCCCAAAAGGATAGAAAATACAACGTGTGTGTGTGAGAGAAAGAATGTCCAGTTTTAGGCAGCAGACTGGGAGCACAGATGCCCATTGAGGGTTTGGACTGTGGCAGGCGGAGGACACACCCTGCTCTGTGTGGCTCTGTTTATCCTCTGCTGTCACACACACACACACACAC